TAAAACTTTTTGGTCTCAAGACCCTTTTACATTTTTTTAAACATTCTTAATATTTTATTTTTCCCCAATTACATGTAAAAATAATTTTTAACTTTATTAAAATTTTAAGTTCCAAATTCTCTCCCTGCTTCCCTCCCCTCTCCCTTTCCTGAGATGTAAGCAATAAAACATATTTCCATATTAGTCATGTTGTGGAAAAAAAAAACACAAAGGAAAAGAAACAAAAAAAAAACTGTGTTTCAATCTGAATTCAGATTTCATCAGTTCTTTCTCTGGAGATGGATAGCATTTTTCATCATAAGTTATTCATAATTGTCTTGGATCATTGTATTGCCGAGAATAGCTACGTCATTCACAGCTGATTATCATACAATATTGATGTTACTAAATACAATGTTCTACTGGTTCTGCTTACTTCAGTTTGTAACAGCTCGTGCAAATGTTTCCATTTGATCAAGTCTACATTTTAACGAGTTCTTTTTTTTTAGTGAAATTTTGTACTTTTTTTTTTTGCATTTAGCCAATTCTGCTTTTTAAGGCATTCTTCTCTTCACTGATTTTTTCTGCCTCTTTTACCATTTGACCTGCTTTATTTTTTGTTTTTTTTTCAATATTTTTTGTGCCTCCTTTACCAAGCTATTGACTTTTTTTTTCATGATTTTCTTGCATTTCTGTCACTTCTCTTCTCATGTTCTTTTATTTGAGCCTTAAAATCCTTTTGGAGCCCTTCCAGAAATTCTTTTTGGGTCTGAGACCAATTCACATTTTCCTTTGAGGCTTTGGATGTAGCAGTTTTGACTTTGTTGATATCTTCTGAGTTTGTTTCGTTCATCCTTGCTATCATAGTAACTTTTTATGTCCAGGATCTTTTTTGTTTGTTTGCTTGACTTTTAGCTTTATATAAGAGTTGGGCTCTGCTCCTGCCCTGCAGGGGCACTGTCCCAAGCTTCATGTTTTTTTGTGCAGTTATTATCAGAGCTAGTTCTACAGAGTCTATAAACTTTCAGTTCCTTCAAGGTGGTATGATCTAAAGGGAGGTGTATTTACTACCCTCCTGACCTGTGTTGTGGTCTGTGAGTGACCACAAGTGCTCTTTTCTACTTTGGAACTGTGATGAGGTTCCCTGCTCCCCTGTAGCCTCAAACTCTGATATGCTGGTGCTCCTCCTCACCCTGGGACTGCCACTTAGGACTAAAACTCAGATATAAATATGGGCAATGCAGCAGAGCCCCAATGCCAGCAAAGGGACCCCTGTCCTTTTCCTTTTGACCAACTGTTTGACCCCCTTACTATCTATGGACTGAGAGTTTAGGAAGCTACTGCCACCACTGAATCAGTTGCCCCCCAAGGCCTGCTGTTGTATTGCACTCCACTCTCACCCCAGTGTGATAGACCTTTCCTGCTGACTTTCTAAGTTGTTTTAGGGTAGAAAAATGTTTCACCACATCCTTTTGTGGGTTCTGATCTCCGGAATTTGTTCTGAGGCATAATTTAAAGTTATTTGGTGGGGAACTGGGTAGGACTCAGGTGAGTCACAGCCTTTTCTCTGACATCTTGGTTCCGACTTCTCCCCTTTTAACACTCTTAAAAATTATTGAGGAACCCAAAGAACTTTTGTTTATGCAGGTCATATTTGATACTTGCCAAAGTAAAAGTTAAAACTGCTAACTAAAAATACCTTTATTAATTTAAAATAGCAATAACTAATTGTAAGTTGATATAAATAATATATGTTAATAGAAAATAACTATATTTTCCAACACAAAAAGAAAATAATGAGAAGAGGGGAATTGTTTTAAATACTTTTGCAAATTTCTTTAATGTCTGCATTCTCATATCTGCTTCTGTATTCAACCTGTTGTGATATGTTGTTTTGGTTGAAATATCAAAAGAAAATCCAGATTCCAACAGATACATAGTTTGAAAATACTAGTAGATAAATAATGCCTTAACATTATTATGAAAATAGTTTTGACTTCATGGATCTCCAAAAGGGTCTTTGGGACCTCCACCAGACTTTAAGAACCCTTGGTATAGGAATTTCTAGGTGAAGAAGTTCCCTTTATTAATGCAAGTAAAAAAAAAAAACCAAACAAAAACAAAAACAAAAGACATCAATAACATTGAATTAAAAAAAACCAAACTTGTTGAATTGAAATTGATCTTAGGGTTCCAAGTCCCTCATTTGACTGTTGAGGAAGTTGATATTCAAAGAAATCTAGTGATTTATCAATGTCACACAAGTGAAGACATTCAACCCTAGTTGTTCCTTTGTCTAGAGACAGAATATTCTTTGGGGTACTGCACACAATGGTCTCATGTTGACTTGGTCAACAATAGTTGGGTGAGTAATTTGGTAAAGATGACAAAAATATAGGAACATTCAAGAAGTTGGAGGGGTTGTAGAAAGACAGAGATATTAATACATGGTTAGTAGAGTTATGAATTTCTACAATCATTCAGAAAGCAATTTAGAATTAGGCAAATAAAATGCCTAAAATGTCCATACCCTTCCACCTAGAGATTCCACTACCAGGCATATATATACTCCAAGGAGGCTATAAAAAGAAAGGATGTACACACTACTTTATTTATAGCAGTATTTTTTGTGGTAGCAAAGAATTAGAAACAAAGTAGATGCCCATAGATTGGAGAATAGCCAAACAAATTAGAATATGTGAATGTAATGGAATATTACTGTTGTAAGAAACAATTTAGATGAAGAGAAACATAGAAAGACATGAACTGACGCCAAGTAACCAGAACGAATATATACAAGTACAACAATGTAAATGGAAAAGACCAACAACCACAAAACAACTGAAAATAAATGATGCAAAATTACAAACAGCTTTCACCTCAATGAAGAGATATGAGAGGACATATCAGTAGATCTTTGGGAGTGGAACATTGCACGCCACATCAGATTTTTAAAAATGTACTGACTGGTTTTGATGATTTTTTTTTTCTCTTCTTCCTAACTGCCTTCTTTATGTCTCTCTGTGTGGGGTCTCTCTATACACTTCTTTTGATGTCTTTCAGGGATGGGTAAAGGGGAGAAATACAGGAGGAAATATAGATACTATAAAAAAAAACAAAAGATATCAATAAAATGAAATAAAATGAATGCGGCAGAATTGCAAAGAATAGTCTTGGTCCCACTTAAGAGATATGACTCTTCCTTCCACTTGTTTGCAGAGGTTGGGGTGCTAGTAGTCTAGATGTGGAATGTTGTATTAAGGTCAGATTTTTTAAAAAATGTATTGATTGTTTTTTCTCTGATTTTTTTTGTAAAAATAAATATTTATTATAAAGGATAACTTTTGGGAGGGGCAAGGATGATGGGTTACAAGGGAAAATTTAGGCATTGCAAAAATCATTAATTTTATTTACTACTAATTATAAACAAATAGTAATAATAATAATAATAAAGATCACATTTACTGAAGTACTTTCCAAATATTCCAAATATTATCTCACTTTATACACACAATCAATCAATCAACACTTATTAAGTGCCTATGCCAGGCTCCATTCTATGGGCTGGGGGCCCAAATGGGGGCAAAAGACCCTCAAGTAGCTTACAATCTAATGGTGGGAGACAACATGCAAACATATACATACGTACGTACATAGATACACAGAGCAAGCTATATACAGGATAAATAGGAAATAATTAACAGCAGGAAGGCACTAAATCAGGGAGTAGTGGGGAAGGCTTCCAGTAGAAGAGGATTTTTGTTGGGACTTTAAAGGAATGTAGCAATCCTGGGAGGTAGGTGCTGTAATTTCCATTTTACAGATGAGGAAACTGAGGCACAGAGGTGAAGTCACCTGCTCAAGGTCACACAAGGGGGAAAAGTCCAGAGTGCTCTTGTTACTGAGCACTGCGTCACCTAGCCCAGTGGCTGTGAGCTTCAAATTAAAACCATCATTCTGGAAAGCAATTTGGAATTATGCAAATAAAGTGTTTAAATGTCTATGGGGTTCCTACCGAGTGCTTTCACTCCTGGGTATATACTCCAAGGAGGTTATCAACTAAAAGAAAGGCTCTCCCTCTCTCTCTTTCTTTCTTTTTCTTTATCTCTCTCTCTCTTTCTTCTTTTATTCACTTATTTATTTTTATTCTAAAAGTACATTTAATATTTATTTAAATTAAAAAAACAAATTCATTATTTTCATCCTTTAAAAATTTATTATCTTTTGAAAAATATTTTTATTTTTCAAAAAAACAATTTATTATTTTAAAGCTAAAATTATTATTTATTCATTACCCTCCCATTAACATTTATTTATATGTTTAAAAAATTTATTAGTTTCTTAAAAATGAATCTATTAATTTATTGTCAGGTTATTTTTATTCAGGAATTTATTATTCATTTTTATTTCTTAAAAGAAATTTATTTTTCTTTTTACTCCTTCAAATAAATTTATTTTTCAAACAAATTTAGTCTCTCATATTCATTCCTATTTCAGAGAGGAATTTATTATGTATTTCCATCTCCTAAAATGAATTGTTACCCGGTATTTTCGCAGAACATTTTACTTTTAAATATCCAGCGCCGAAGTTCTTCCCTACCTCTCTCCCTGCCGCCCCATTCAAAGCCCAGAAGTGTTGGGGGAGGGGAGGCCGCCCACCTTTTTGTTCCTGCCTTCCCGTGACAGCCCAGCTCCCATCCCAGCCCCTCACCATTCCAACCAGAGCCTTTCGCAGGACAAAAGCGAACTCGCTCTATTTTGAGCCCCGGCGGCCCCCGTCGTCCAAGTCCCGCCCCGGTCGCCCGGGGTTGGTCGTTGCCATGGTTACGCTTTGTTTGGAGGCAATGGACTCGCTTTTCCCGAGGAGGTAAAAGCCTGGGTAGAGGCGAAGGTTCAAGGCGGCCTGGGTGGGCCGGGGTCCCGGGGGGCCGCGCCCCGTCCGGTCCGAGGAGGGCTTCCGGCAGAGGCGGCCTCGGGGTGGGTGGGCGGAGGAGGGGGCGGTGCCGGGAGCGGAGAACACCCCCCGCATCCCCCCGCGGAGCGGAGCGAGGCCCACTCGTGGGGTCCAAATTGCCTTAGTTACGTGGGCTGCCTCGACAGGTGATGAGCTCCCTGTCACTGGAGGTGTTCAAGCAGAGGCTGGATGGCCATTTGTCGGGTATGTTACAGGTGGGGGTCCTGGTACAGGCACAGCTTGGACCGAAGGAAGGCCCTTCCCCCCGCCCCCCAACACCCCCAAACCTCCTCCCTCCCACGAAATGTTCCGCGTTTGGCGTTTGAGCTCCAGGGTCCTAATCCTAACTGCTACTAACACCCCCAGTGACCTCAGGCAAGTCACTTCAACTCCCTGGGCCTCAGTTTCCTCTTCTGTAAAATGAAGGGGTCGAGCCAGGTGAATTCACTAGGCTGGAAACAGCTCTTGCCCCATCTGATGTCTCCTGGCTGGCTTCAGGGGCTGTAGTTGGGCTGTTGAGCAATTCACTTCAACTACCTCATTTTCCTCACCTGTAAAATGAGGGGATTGTACTTCACTAAATGAACCCTTCCCCTTGAAACTCTACTAACTCACCAGACTCAGAATCCTTCTAGGCTGTTTCAAAGTTCAGGTTTTCTTTTTATCTTTTTGTCTCTTTCTAAAAGGAATGAAGCAGCTCTTGCCAGGAAATGGAGTGTTGTTGACCTGTAAGCTCCTGTGACCTTGAGCACATCACTTCAGTTGTCTCAGTTTCCTCCTCTGTAAAATGAGATTGGACTCTAAAGCCCCCTCCACCTGTGAATCTCTAAATCTAAATAAAGATCCTGTAGAGTTTCACTCCGATTTATTTCATCTTGTTTTTCACTTTTACCCATCTTCCTAAAGTATATTGTTTTTAATTTTTTTTTAATAATGATGTTGATTTTCTGGACGCCAGTTTCTTAAACGGATTAGATTAGATGACCTCTCTTGTCCTTCCAGCTGTAAAGCTCCCTGTTTGGTTTTACAATTCTGAACAAATACACTTAAGATTTTTGTTGTTGTTGATAAATTTTTATTGATATCTTTCTGTTGTTTTTTTTTTTTTACATCACCAAAATTAGTCGCAATATCTTTCCCCTGCCAGAGAGCCATCCTAAATAACAGACAATATTTTTGAAGGAAAAGACAAAACTAGTAAAATTGATCAATACATTGAAAATGTCTAAAAATATACGCAATATACTATTCCCACGGACCTTACACCTTTTCAAGGAATGGGGTGGAGAGTTGTCTCACATCTCTCACTCTAGATTTGTTATAGATGCTTTGTTCATTTATTGATGGCAGTGTCCAAAAGAAGAAGAATTTGGTGGGGGGGGGGAGAAGTATGATATAGTCATAGGCTAAATCACTTGACCTTTCTAGGCCTCAGTTTCCTCATCTGTAAAATTATAGGGGTAGCCTAGACAGACTTTACCAACTCTATAATTTTTATAATTCTATCTTTAGTGAAAAGAAAAATCCCTTTTATCAGGAAAAGCCCTTTGCAAATTCAGCAAACATTGGGGTATGATCTCAGCGGTGCCAGCAAGCCCCGTTTATTTATTCAGGTACCTCTTTTTAGCTTAGCTGATTCTTAAAACTGTAAGACAGATTTATTTAGTGGATTTAAGATTTGCAAAATGAAAAGGTTGGACCCAGTGGCCTCTAAGGTGCCTTCCAGCCAAAAAATCTAGGATTTTATATGATCTTATGACTTTGCTGTTAACCTGAAGCCATTTCTGTCATTCATACCTTCGAATGAATGAATTCGTTAGATCATTTTCATTGTTCCAGTTTGGACCTGGGGGAGAACAGGAGAGTCAATCTGGGGAGCTGGAGAAGAGCTACCAGCCTTGAGTAGGAGAGCCATTCTCCTATAGGGCCCCTTACTTCCTCTCTGTCAGGAATAACTTCTGTAGGAAAAAAAAAAGTCTCCTGAGGTAGAGCTCATTTATTACACATTCTTGCAAGAAGTGGGTGTGCTGCTAGAGGCAGACACACCCTACAGAAGCAAGAGCAAGCAGTTATATTCCTGTCCCTAAACCGAAGGTCCCTCCCTTGTTTCTCATTGGCTGGATACTTGCAGGTGTACAACTTCCCGGAACGCCTATTCATATTACTCCTTAATGTGCTCTCCCCTCCCACCACATACAACATTGTAGCTAAAATTGTGTTAATCCTCTCCCCCCCAAGGAAAAGTTAATATGCAGAGGTTTATTAAGCATGCGCACCTTAGCCAAGCTATAACCTTTGTACTACTTTCTTCACTTCTAATTCTACTGCTGATGTCAGCAGGTTTTGTCTGTCTCTGAGTGGTATTGTAAAAAATAACTCTTGAGCAAGACTACTCCTTCTGCCCCTGTGACAACTTCTGAATTCTCTTGTTAGTACCCCTTCCTCTACATCTGTGGAAACATAATTTCTTACACCTTACACTCTCCACCTCTCAACCTTTGTAAAGATTCAGCAGCAGTGCCTTCTCCTGTGTCCTTTTTGGTGATAAGCTCAGTCACATTATTTAGTTTCACTTCATAAAATCATCCACTTAGTGCTGGGAAGGCTTTTAGAAACAATCTAGTGCACGCTCTCATTTTACAGATGAAGATGCTGTAACTGGGAGAGGTGAAGGGTCTGACTTTCTAGTCACACAGATAGTGAATGGCAGAACAGGATATGAACCCAGATTCTCTGACTTCCAGTCTGATGTCTTTTCTACTGTATCATTTTGCTTCTCTTCTGTTCTTTCCATTTACATAGTAATAATAATAACAGGTTGCACTTTAAGGTTTGAAAAGCACAGTAAATATATTTGCTCCTCACAACAATCTTGTGAGATAGATGCTGTTATTTTATAACTGAGGGAACTGAGTCAGACAGAGGTTAAGTGATTTGCCCAGGGTCACACAACCATTGTCTGAAGCTAGATTTGAACTCAGATCTTTCTGACTATAGTTCCAGCACTCAATCCACTGTGTCACCTACCTGCTCTCAATCTTTAGTTATTATGTATATTGTTTTCCTAGAAGGAAGGGAGATCACGGAAAGGGGAAGTTAGGAATAGAAAAACTTTTTCTCCTTCTTAATTTTGCCCGTAAAGTTTGCGACTTCTTCCCCTCTTGATTTCTCCCTGACCAGTTCTAGGTAAAAGTAGAAGCAAGGCTTTCTCTTCCCTGATTTCCCCCTCTTCACACACAAATACTTTGTGTGGCATCCTCTAGGCAGCCATTCCTATTCTTGGCTAGAATAGGAAAATAACTTGGAGGTCCCTTGCGCTTGAGGCTGGCACATGGAAAGTAATGAATCCCAGTCACTCCCAGTACTTTACCACTAGTAATTGCTTTAATCTTCTGTCTTCTCAGGTGTGCTGGATCTTGCTTCTTCGTCACTTTTAGCTTCTGCCTGGGGGTGGTTCTCTTGGAGTCATGGCTCGTGTCATGAATCAAAGATAAAGGGAGGAAAGAGAGGAGAAGGGGTAGTAGTGGCAGAATGGCTTTACCTTTATTTTGTCCCAGTCCCCTCCACACTGGTGCCTTTTCCATACTTTCAGTAGGATGTCTTAAGAATACAGAGTGCTCCAAAATGTTTAGACTTTTGAGATACCTCCTGTTTTGAAATAGTTAATAAGTTGACATAAATTAACATGTAAGTACATTTTCTTCTTGGGAGTAAACTCAAAGACTTAAAAAAAGTATACCATTAAATTATTTTCCATACAGTAAACCTTTATAATTTTCAAGAAAAATTAGATTTTATGTCTGAAATAAATGCAACTCATAGTGCCATAAATTTGTGTTTTGGGACCCAACAAATATTTCAGTATTCTCTGGCTTGCTCTTTGTTCATTGACTGTTAAATGTCTAAGTACCTTATGTGACAGGAGTCGGAATAGTGGTGCTTGATGTAGTGCTAAGAACTTTTACTATCCCTAGCCTCAAGTCTTTTTTAAGAGAAAGAGAGAGAAAGGGGGAGGGGAGAAGGAGAGGAGGCTCTCTTGTGGTCTGTTAATTACTGAACCAGTTGGGGCCCTTGTCTTAGTCCCTATATCATCACTGGCCCTAGTTTCAATAAAAATCTAGAAACTTTGATCTAGAACATGCTTAAATGATCAAAACTATAAAATTTCTGTCTTCAACTTGTTGACCCCTCATTATTCATTGACTGACTTTACCTCCTCACTTGCAACTCCCCCGCTTTCCAAAATCATAGGATTCAACAGTTCGGTAGTAATAGTTAGATGTTTTCTTTTAAAGAAATTCCATTGATATATTTTGTTATTCCACGCATGCATTTCCCAATATATGTCTCCTCTCCTAGTCATAAAGAGCCATCCTCTATAACAGAATAATAAAAAAAAAGCTTAGTAAAACTATTGAACTCTTCAAGAAAGTACAACATTATGTTCATTTTTCATTCAGGCAATCAACAAGGATTTATTAAGCACGTATTATGTGCTTATGCCTGGCGCTGGGTATACAAATAGAAAGAATCAAACAGTCCTTATCTCAAAGGAGTGCACATTCTAGTGGAGGAAACAGGAGGGAGGAAAGGAAGGAAGGAAGGGACAAAGGGAGGGAGGGAGGACGGAAGGAAGGAAAGGACAGAAGGAGCTAGGAAGGAAGGGATAGAAGGAGGGAGGAAAGAAAAGAGAAGGAAGGAAGAAAATGAGAGAGGGGAAAGGAAAAGAATGGAATATGGACCTGGATTTCAGTACTGGCCCAGGTACTTCCTAGCTTTAATGTAGCCTAAACCTAGTAATCTCTAAGGGGTAATCACATTTATTCAATCTACATAGCCTTATAGGTTTTTTTGTGAAAAAAGCACTGAGGAAACTGTATGAGAATACATATAAAGTGCTTTATCAACCTTAGATGCTACGTAAATGTAATCTGTCTGTCATCCTCTTTATTTGAGGTTTTTTGTTTTGGTTTGGTTTTGATCTAGACCTATGATTTCATTGGTAGAGGAGGAGATTTCTATTGTGTAAACACCCTATCAATGTAAACAATGATAACCCCATCACATGACAGCTTTTCATCTATTTGGAGGAAACTAGTAATTAATCTCCAACAAATAGGGCCTGCAGTCTCTAGCAAGTGGGTGTTGCAAATTTTAGGAGGTTTAACTGAAGAAAGTATTGAATGTAAAATTGGGCCTAAGATCGCACTGTTAGTAGATAGTGAAACTAGGATTTGATCCGATGTTCAAGGACTTGTAAGGAGAGATCTCTTTCCACTGTACCATGTTGCTTCTTACTCCTTTCTAACTTCTTGGATAATAGAAACAAAGTAGAATTGTTGGAATCCCAAGATTTAATAGAGCTGAGATAGAACTTCAAGCCCTCCAGTCTTCTAAACTAACCCCTTCCTTTTACAGATGAGAAAACAGAGGCCACGAGAGCTCTAGAGATTTGCCCAGGGTCACCCAGCTGGCAGGCACGAAAGCAAGACTTGAACTCCTGGCATCTGACTTGAATTTCAAGGCTTTTTCAGGTACTTAATAGCACCTCCCAAGGATTCGTTTTTTCCTGCTAGTTTTTAAAAGTATTTATAGGTTTTATATTCACATATACACATTTATACATGTATATGTGTACCCATATGTATATGTATAGTATACATAGATGCATATACATACAGTCTACATGTGTGCATATACACATAGCTATATGCACATATCTGCTTACGTTATTATGCATTTACATACATGGAATGTACACACATGTGGGTATGTGTACATTATGTATCCATGGACATAATGTATCCATATGTGAGTATATATGAAATATATCTATGTACCCATATGTGTGTATTTTGTACATTTACATATAACACACCTATATACGTATACACCTATATACATGCATACATATATGTGTATGTGTCTAGGTATTTTGCTGTTCAGTTGTGTCTGACTCAGGACCCTGTGTTTTCTTGGCAAAGATATTGGAATAGTTTGCCATTTTCTTCTGCAGTGGATTAATGCAAAAAGTGGTTAAGTGACTTGCCAGGGTCACACAGCTAGTGAGTATCTGAGGCCAGATTTGAATTCAAGTCTCCCTGACTCCAGACCCAGCATTCTATCCACTGAGCCACCTGGCTGCCTTCATGTATAGGTATATATGTATAGTATGTGTGTAGATATTGTATAGATATAGATTTATATGTTATATATTATGTAGATATGGTTATAATAGAAACCGAGGGAAACATTTAAATATGAAAAGGCACATATATGCACACACATATGTACATATACGTACATATGTATATACATACTCACGCAGGTGAAGATATATGAAAAATAAAGGTATACATGTATGCATATATACACATGTGTATACATATGTATACACACAGCCAATGAATATATACATACATTTACATATATGTATACATGTTTGTTTTTCATATTTAAAAGTTTTACTTGGTCTATGTTTTATATATATATATACATATATATATGCATACACACACGTTGTTGTTATTATTCAGTTGTTTCAGTTATGTCTGATTCTTCATAACCCCATTTGGGGTTTTCTTGGTGAAGAAATGAGAGTTGTTAGCCATATCCTTCTGCGCTCATTTTGCAGATGAGGAAACTGAGGTAAACAGGGTTAAGTGACTTACCTAGGGTCACACAGCTAGCTAGTAAGTGTCTGAGGCCAGATTTGAACTCAGGAAAATGAGTCTTCCTAACTCTGGGCCCAGCACTCTATCCACTGCGCCAGCTAGCTGCCATGATGTGTATACACATACATGCATACACACACGCACACATACATACACACTTACACACATATATGGACATACACAAACATTTATAACACAAAGACATTCTATTCCTGGAGTCAAGTGTTATAGTATTGTACTTGAATACTTCCAAAATCTGTTATTTTTGTAGGTGTGAGTATTCCCTTCACCAATTTCCGTAACAGCTTCCCAAGTCTTAGTAGATAGTCCCAGAGAATTTATGTCTGAAAAGTTCATCTGCCTGCAGCAAAGCTGGAGACGAGCCTCTGTGACTTGGTTGGACCAGTCTTTGAACAATTCACATACGTCCCTGGATCCATACTCAAAGCTTTTCCACATTTCTAAAACTTGCGGTAGTTTGCCCTTCTTGACTGTCAGGCCCTTTCAGTATCGAGATGGACCTACACATTTTAAAGACATATCAGAACATGGCTTTAGTGGAAGGTGCAAGTGTATTATACATTATATCGTATGAGGTACGCCAGAAAGATTTGAAATCAGCATATTTAACCAGGGATACATTCGAGTCCAGACAGATTTCACTGTCATTGTGTCCTCTGTTTTTATTTTTGTTGTTTTGCTTTTTATTATAAAGAATGTGGGATGATAAAGATATTGAAGCAGAGCTGGAAGAAGAAATAAAAGCTGAATTGGATAAAATCAGCGTTTCATCTTTGGAGATAAGAGATGAGACCGACTCCCCATCTGAGTTTGGCAGTGAGAGTGAGCCAGTAAGTGTCCAGCTTCGGAGTTTCATTAATCTTTTGCTTTTTGTTCATCTCCATATAATCCAACCCTGTCATTTTACAAATGGGATACCTGAAGTCCTTATAGGGGAATGACTTGCCAAGGCCATGGTCACATAATTATAAAGTGATAGAGCCAGGCTTTGAGCCTAACTCCAAATGGACAGTTCTTTTGACTACATTCATTCTTAAAACATCATCACCGTTTAGGAAATACATGAGAAAACAGCTTCTGCCCAAATTCTGTTTTGAGGTTTCAAGATGGCCCACAAATGACCATGAGTTTTCACAGGTTCTATTAGGTAGCTTTGGCAAGTTATACCAAACTGAAAATATTTCAAATATTGTCAGTGATGACTTTTGTGTCTTTTCTGTGAAGACTATCTAACTGAATTCTGAGAGACTACTCAAAGGATAGCAAGTAGGTAAAGATTTTCTTTTGATCACAGGGAAGACCATCTACTAAGTGCTGGAAGGATTGTGGTCTTAATAGAGGGAGATTACACACTAATTGAATAATAGATCTTTTGTAGCCAGATTGTGAAGGGCTTTAAAAGCCAAACAAAGGAGTCTACACTTTATCCTAGAGGTAATTCGGAGCCACTGGAGCTTCTTGAGCTGAGGAGTGATGGGGCCAGGAGGCCAGAGAGTCCATGATGGTGTGAACCAGTGTGGTGTTGTAAACATGGTGTCTGCGTAGAATTCACAAGTCTTTGGACATGAGGGGCAGAAAGAAGGAAGAAAGGAAGCCATCTAGAGATGGATGACTCTGAGGTTGGGAAACTTCATGACTACCAGAAAGAAACAGGAAAAGTTATAAAGAGAGGAGGACCTCACTGTAAAGATCATGAGTAACGTTTTGGACTTGTGAAGTTTTGAATGCTTATGGAACATCCAGGTAGCAAGGAGGGAGGGCCTGGTCTTGAGGATTGAGGTTGGATATACAGATAAAAATCCATAGGACGAATACATTTATGTTCATTAAATTAAACCAATGACAAAATCCTTTAAGAAGCTTCAACGCAAACTTATAGAGGAATTGTAGTTCAGGTTTTGTGATTACCTTGTAGACAAGACTGCTTTATAAAGAAGTACTTTTATAATTAAACCTTCTTTGGATGTGGGTTGGTGGCATGGGTAGGGTTAAGACATACCCATCTTACAGAAAATTCCACTCAATTTCAAGTGTGTTGCAGTAGATTATTATAGTGTCACTCATCAGTTTTTGCAAAATACAAGGAATTTCGCTAGACAGTAAACGAAATATATCTCAGATGGTGTATGAAAGAGTTCATAGGAAATATGTTCTCTAAGTCATGGAATAGTAAATATTGAAAGTATGGGTTGAACACTTAATGGGCGTTGCATATATAAAGCACATACAATGGAAAAACCTTTCAGCAGTTCAGTTAAACCATGTAAGGGAACTTTGAAATCCACTCTGCTACACCAAACATGTAAATTTTCCCTTGGGTGTTGATTCTTCTGGAAGTTAGCCATAACAGAAAAAAAGAGGCTGGGGGTATGCAGGGGTCTACAAAGGTAATTCTAAAGAAATTGGTCAGAAGAGGAAACTCAAACTTGGGACTTTAGAAGCTTTAATTCCATGAGGAGCACAGAGTCTAAAGAAGAAATAAATATACTGAAAATGTAAACTGAATCATAATGGGGATAAATTAAATTGCATGTAATTGGTTTGTACAAATGTAATCACCTTTTTTTTTTTGGCTAGGCAAGGGGGTTAAGTGACTTGCCCAGGGTCACACAGCTAGTGAGTGTTGTGTCTGAGGCTGAATTTGAACTCTGGTCCTCCTGACTTCAGGGCCAGTGCTCTATCCACTGCACCACCTAGCTGCCCCTGTAATCACCTTTTAATAAACATATTAGAGAATAGTCTCTGCCCAAATTCTGTTTTCAAATTTTCTGTTTGTAGAAATATAGAAGCACCTGGAAATGAAAAATAAATGCATAAATAAGGCTTTTGTCTCCTTAAAAACCCCCATTTCATATTTGGCATGAATTTAAGAGTAATTTCTTAATGAAGATTTGCTCATAAAATTGAAAGAGTGAAAAGAGACAGTGGATGCTCAGCACATAGTTTTACTAAGAAACACTTTTTGATCTGATTTTACTGTTCTTGTTTTCAGGGAGAAGAAAACTTACCTGAATCAGTTCTTTACTGTATAAATGTCATAAAGAATCGGAGTAAAGATGCTGAAAATCTTGTTCTCCAGGACTTGGAAGATACTGACATTTCAAGTAAGCAGAGGTTTCACTTAAATATTAAATGATTTCTCTGCCAGTTTTCAGTGTGATATAAGAATAAAATATAATTTTGCAAAGTCATCTGTTTAAAACTACTATTCCTAACTAACCAATGCAATTCAGCAAACATTTATTAAGACAGCACTGTGCTAGGCATTGTAAATACGTCCTAGCTTTCCTGGGAAGGAAAACCCATTTACCACTATGAGTAACGACAGTGAGATTGCAAGTTTGATGCGAGGTAATTGAAGCACAGGGGGAGGAAGCAGCAGATTAGATGTGTTAGAGCAGTCCCTCCATAGCCACCCTTCTTCTCCTGGTTACGCACTGAATCCCCACCTACCCTCCAGACACAGCCTCTGCCTCCTGCCCTCAGAGTAGGCAGCTTGGCCTGGTGAAGTATTGAGAAAGAGTCTTTTAAAGTGATCTGCCTTTTTCTGTGCCCTTGAGGTTTAGGGCTGGTGGAATTATAGCAAGTGGCTGGGCTCTGAATATGCTAACCCCTGGAAGAAAGGAGACTGAAGTAAGGAAGAATTAGAGAACTTAGGTAAAGAAAAATCAGGAAAGACCCTCCATCAGTCAGTCAGCAAACATCAAGTACCTACTACCTGTCGGACAATGCCAGACATGAAGAGCTGCAGATCAGAAGAGAGGCAAAAATAGTCAATGTCCTCAATGAGCTCACATTCTAATGGGAGAGATAATATTTAAGAAACTATGTACGTACATGCATGCATACAAGGTATATACCTTGTTGGTGGGAGGACTCTCACAGGGAAAGAATGAAGATTTTAGCAGTGGGAGGCAAGGGAGACCTGGAAAGGCCTCTTGGAGAAGATGGGCTTTAATTTGAGTCTTGAAGGAAGCCCCTGTAGCCAGGAGGAAGAAAAGGGAGAGAGAACCTTCCAAATGTGGTGAACAGTCAATTAAGAGGCCCTGTCAGGAGATGGAGTAATGTGTTCAAGGAACAGCAAAAAAAGGCTGGTGTTGCTGGATTGCTTGTTCCTTGACACATATGTATATGCACATACATGCATATAATATATGGTATACATGTACATATATACATGTATATATGTGTATACATCTATGTCATGACAACCCTGTGAGGTATATATACTATAGGCATTTTTATCCATTTTTCAGATGAATGACTTACCCATGATCACATAGTATAAATAGTGAGACTTGAACCCAAGTCTTTCTTAAACCAAATCCAGCATTCTGCTTACTGTGCAACATACATTATGCAGCTTGTTAACTTTCTTCTCTTCATCGATATTAGTCATTGTCAATTGTCCTACACCTATTATGACAGATTTCTCCAAAGCATCCAGCTTCACTGTTCATATGTGACACAGCACATAATTATAACACAATTCAACCGTTATTGGAGCAAATTAATATCATAAGATCATAGATTTACATCTAGAAAGAAACTTATAGGTCATTTGTTCCAGACATCTCGTTTTATACATAAGGAAGCTGAGACTCAGAAAGATTAAGGGGCATGACCAAGATCCCACCTTCAGTAAGTCACCGAGACAGGAGTGGACACTGGTCCTCCGAGTAATTCCCCAGTCTTGCACTTTTACTACAGCATGTTGCTTAAGAGTAAAACTATAGCATTGCCTGATGTACAAATATGGAACAGAGAGATTAATTTTAAATGTAAACTATTAAGTTTACAAGCAAAAGGGAATCTATACTCTCTGGTTCAGATATCACTCTTGTAGTTCCTGGGGATACCCCAAACATCCATGGTGAGCTCTTCAGACAAGATGCTCTGTCTATCTATATCTATTTAATGCCATAGTTCAGGAGCCCCCACAGATATATCTGCCTCTGCTAGTCAACAAGAGAATGCAACTAGTGTGAAATGAAATATTTCATTTAGTGAAGTAGCATAAAAAAGTAGTAATAAAACATTTCTTTCCATCAGCTTGGGGAGTACTTTCCCTCAAATATACGTACAATCTAGGAAGAATGCGCACCTGTAGGAAATGTGTGCAAATACATGCATTCCCATGAGGAACATGTGTGGCATGGTCAGACACATGGAGGAAGAAACTCAAAACTCCATTGCTTCAAAGTTGCCCGTATCACCTGCTGAGGTTACTTCACTCCTCCTGGTTTTGTCAGAAGCATAGAATTTTCCCTGGCCATTGCTCTCTGCTGGTCTCCAGTGGCTGTTGCTCAGTATTACTCTTTTGGGTGGGGCTTGTGGAGCTTTTCTCCATTTGCGGCTTCCGGTTTGAGCTGGAGCCCTTAGCTGGAGGGTTGTTTCTTCCTAATAGAACCATGAGCTGGCTGTTTCTTCCTAATAGAAGCATCAGTAGACTGTGCCACGTTCTTTTCGCTTATAGCCTATAAGCTTCTCTTCCCCTCCCCCCCCTTCCCATCACTCTCTTCCCTGGCTCTGATTATGGCTTTTAGAATACTCCCTCTAAAAAAAATAATACAGTATGTATATGTGTGCATGTGTGGGTGTGGGTGATGTGAAGGTAGAAAGTATGGCTCTCCATCTAGCATTGGGTCTGGATGTTATGATTTGGGAGTCATCCAGAGAGGTAATAATTGAAGCCATGGGAGTAGATGAGATCACCAAGGGAGAAAGTATATGTAGACAAGAACATTTTGAATAGACCCTTTGGATAAGGAAGGAGAAAATGAACTACAGAAGGTTTTTGAGGAATTATCTGACAGGTAGGAGGAGACTCAGGAGAGAAGAATGTTAGGAAATTGTACAATGAGAAAGTAGAAAAAAAAAAGAGGGGTTAAGCAATAGTGCCAAATGTGGCAAAGCCATATGTGGCAAAGAGAATAATGATTAAGAAAAGGCTTTGGTACCGAAGAGATCATTAAAGGTCTTGGAGATAACATTTTCAGTTCAGTGGTAGGGAGGACAGCTGAGCCCTCCCCATATTTAGTTACTAGTTCTGTTTGGAAATCTCTCCATTTTTTTTCACATCTTCTTTAATTTGTGGGTACCTAAACTACATCCTAATAGTAGTATTAGTTCTAACAGCTGACATTTATAATAGTGATTTCATTTGATTATATTATTAGATAAAATACTGGCTAATAGGTATACTTAGAGAGTTAAATTTTCTTAAAACGTGTTTTATTGGGTTTTTTTAATCCTTAAATGTTCAATGCTTTGTCATGTTATTTTCATGCCAAAGCTATGATATAAACAAGTATGTTTTAGGAAATGTTAATATGTGTCCTTTGATTTGCTTAAGATATTTAGTACAATTACTGAGTGTTTAATTATGGAAAATTTATGCAAAGACAACAAAATTAGATTTTTAAGCCTGAGTATGGTGTTTATGTTTCTTCTTTATCTATATAATTTTAGGATGAATTAATGATGAAGTGATAAGAATTCTTAGCCTCAGAAAAGCAAAAGTATGATAAAGAAAAGTTGAAAAACTTAAATATATGAGAATATTTAAATGTGTTTAATATATCCAAGTGCATACAAGCACATATTCATAAATTTGGGCATTTGTAGATGCTTATCTAAATAAATGTCAAGAGTTCTTTAATTTTTTCCCTGTAGTTACTCCCTTCACTGATGCAGAGTTTTGCAGCCTTTGGATATAGTTTAAGTCTCAAATAATTTGTAATTTTGTAGCAAACCTGGTCAAGAGCTTCTTTCACCTTGGCCAGGTGAGTCTTCAGATGACAGAGATCTAGTCCATTAGAGTTCATCGGCTCCCCATCACTTCCAGGGGCAAACACAAAATTCTTTATTCAGTGTTCAAAGCCCTTCATATCACCCACCCCACTTCCCATAGGTAATATACCTTTCCAGTCCTCTCATACCTCTCCAAATACTCTTTGGTCCAGAGACACTGCCCTCTGTGCTATTTCATGAACAAGATTCTCCATATCTTAGCCCTGGGCATTCTTTTCTGGCTGCCCCCCATGCCTGGAACGCTCTCCCTTCTCACCTGTACCTACTGACCTCCCTGGCTTCCTTTAAGTCCCAGCTAAAATCCCATCTTCTACAGGATGTCTTTTCCAACCCCTCTTAATTGTAGTGCCTTCCTTCTCTTAATTACTTCCCATTTATCCTGTATATAACTTGTTTGTACATATTTGCACATGTCACATATTTGTTGTCTCCCCCATTAGATCGTGAGCAATTCTGTCCTTTTGTTTCCCTAGTGCCTGGAATATAGTAGTGCTCAATAAATGTGCACATTAACTGACAGTTCATCATGGACCTGGTAAGAGGTGCCTTTGAAGCCTTTCCACCTGATCTACCAGAGATAGTTTAGTATTGATATAACCTTCAAGAACCTAGGGATCTTCTCCACACCATGATGAAGAATCAGAGCAGTATCTGAAAATATTTCATGAAATTATTAGATAATATACCATGTAAAGAAGAGCCTAACTAAATGTAATGAACTTCATTGTAAGGCACTTAGTAGTGAGAAGCAAAGCATTTTAGAGGAAGAGAAAAAAAGCCTCATAGGAGGTATGACATCATTATCTTAGACAATAAAATTAATTAATTTTAGATGTGGAAGATACTTTAGAGATTATCAGTGAATTAATCCTTATTCAAGAAGCATTCATTAAGCATCTTCTTTTTGTCAGATGCTGTACTAGGCTCTAGGGATGCAAAGGCAAAAATGAGGTAGCCTCTGCCTTAAAGGAAATTATGTTTTATTGGTGGAAGCTTCAAGTTCATGCATACATACACACATACACATATAAATGCAAAATATACGCAAAGGGAATACACTTTTGTTTGTTTTGTAAAGGAAGGTGTCAGGAGAGGTCTCATGCAGGAGATGTGGCCTGAGTTGAGCTTTAAAGGAAGACAGGGATTCAAGAAGTAGAGGTGAGGAGGTACATTGCAGGCATGTTGGATATTCCACTTAAAGGTGAGGATATGAGAAAAAGAATTTCCTGTGTAAGGAAGTTTGGCTGGACTGAAGAGTTCATGGTGGGGAATAACTTGAAATGGATGAAGAAGGGTAGTCTGACATTAGATTATGAAGGATTTGAATTGCAAAACTTCATCCTAGAGGCAATAGGGAGACACCAGAGGTTTTTGAGCAGGAGGGTAACATGGTCATATGTGCTTTTGCAATTACTTTAGCAGTTGTATAAAGGGGGGATCGAAGAGGGGGCAGAGCAGAGGAAGGGAGACCAATGAGGCTACTCTAGTAGTCCATACGAGGTGATAAAGGGGCCAGATGGGAAGTGGCCAGGTGAATGGAGAGATGGGAATGAGAGTGAATGATATATATTTACAGATAAGGGAACCAGAACTTGACTAAAGACCCACACAACTATGTAATGATAGAACGAATTCCAGAATCATGTCACAGTATCTAGAAGTTCATTTAGGTCACTTCTCACTGAATGCAGACATCTCCCTACAGAGGCTCAATGGATCCTCATCTCCCCATTGCATGAACACGTGCTGTGAAGAGAAACATTTTGTAAACTTATTGCTGTACAGGACAGTTGATTCCATTCTTGGTTAGCTCGATCCAGATAGGTATTCTTTATTTTCACTTATCCCCGCTGCCTTTAACTTTTACCCTTGGTTTCTAGTTCTGCTTTTTGGAACTATGCTGAGTAAATCTATACATGGCAGCCCTTCAGATATTTCTTCCTTTTACTGGCAAGTAGCTGGTAATCTGTTAATGGAATATGGCCTAAGCTAGATAACCAAGGATTAGGTCATCACAGAACTTCTAAAAAAAAAATTACCTGTTGTATTTACCTGTTGACGAGCCTCTTTCTTCAGGTAAATTTCTAAGTACTGTACTTGGTACCTTTGGTAAACATGGTTGCTAATTATGTAGTTTAGGACTAGCTTTTGTAATCATAGCTCATTTACTTTTCACATGTGAAGACAACCCAAATTTCAAATGATTGCATTTAATTTTCATGCTTCCCTATGTTGTTTTTTAAGTATTTCATGATATATTGTTACAGATCTTAAGGTTATAGAAAAATAATCAAAGTTTGATAGCTTGCCAAATTTTAACCATAGTCTTATATTTGAATAGATATGTAGAAATGTAGTTAAAGATATGTGAATATTTTTTCCCCTTTCCAGGTTCTAGTCATGGAGCCGTTTCAAACAGTTCTACAGATTTTATGGATGAGTTGACATCTAAGTCTCATGAAAATGAATTAGAATTAAAGAAGGTACATTATTGAAACTTGACTGACAGTATTCAGTTACATGCTGTAGAATTTTGGATCTGCCTGACAATTCCATATCATGCTGTCTCCATGAATAAGGGAAGACCAAATTGAGTACAGGCTTTGAACTATATTGTTTTAGAGATTAAGAAGACTGTGTTAGATAAAGCATTGTATTATTGTCTATTTTCTTTGACACATAACTTTAAAAAAGTGAAATTTAAATCTTAGGATTATAACTACAAGCAATGAATATGATATATGAACTCTTATTATGTACATATGCATATCAGAAACAGATATTTGGGATTTTAAATTATAAAATGAATAAAACAAAAGAAGCTGTGTATTTATAGCATTATTTTGTGAGTTAAAATTATATATTTTATGAAGTTAGGAAAACAGTATACTCTTTCTCTTCAATTAGACTTACTAAAGGGACTTTTGTATAGAAGATTAGAAATTAAATGCAAAAAAGTGGGAAAAGGAATAATGTTAGAACATACTAGATAGAATGGAGAAACATATAATTATTTCAAAAATCTATGATTGTTTTTAGTGCAGATTTCCCCTTCAATGACAGATTATAGTTCTTCTACCACTTAGTAGATGCTCAGAAAAATTTCATCACCATTCAGCTGACCTGTTATGCACTTCTATCAGCTTATCTATGCTTGTGCCTGAATTGGCTCTTATATCCTTTTCCATTTGGTTGGACCAGCCAGACATTGTATTCCTCCTCATATAGTTTTTGTTTCTGTTTTTGTTTTTTTTTTTAGGCAGTCGGGGTTAATTGACTTGCCCAGGGTCACACAGCTAGTAAGTGCTGAGGTCACATTTGAACTCAGGACCTTCTGACTCCAGAGCTGGTGCTCTTATCTTCTCATGTAGTCTCCAAGACCTTAAGGTCACCCAACTGAGACAATAAAGTAAGAATTAGGTAGAGGTGAATAGAGAAAAAACAAATTCTGTGTTCAAAATATTGGGACAGTTTAATTAAACAGTATGACCGAGTATTAGAAACTGTTAAGGCAAATACCGGCAAATGAGAAGGTGAAGGTAGAGTCATGGAAAGAAGCATGCATTTGCAGTATGGAAGTCAATTGTCAGATTGCTGTAGATTGGTAATCAATCAAAATTTAAAGTGAAATCAGTTCCAAATTCTCTTGTTCAAGTGGAGATTTCAGAAATAAAAGACAAGATTGTTCTGTAAAGGCACAAATTAATTGTATTATTTCAAGTTCATTTTTCTATTACAAAGTCTCAAAATCTTTATTTTTAATGCATATTTTAAATGTAATATTTTGCATAAAATGTTTTTGGTAAATTTTAAGTGTTTTTCGTAGACTTTCACAGATTTTTATTAATCATTGATACCCTTTTGTATCTATTTAGATGTTATTTGAAATAGAAAAAGAATTACAGATAAATCCAACCTGTGATAAAATCCCAAATTCTACTCAACTTCCTAATTTTTGTAACTTACCTGTTGACGAGCCTCTTTCTTCAGGTAAATTTCTAAGTATTGTACTTGGTACCTTTGGTAAACATGGTTACTAATTATATAGAACATCTAAATTAAACATTTTTGCTGTTTGTATGTGTGTATGTAAATTTTGTAACATTCAGATTTAATAAAGCTATAGTGTTTGGATTTTTAAAATCTCACTGATTGAGTTTATTTCCTAGGGTCATAGAATCATGACTCTAAGGCTAAAAAGACTCAGAAGGGTTAATGACTCTATTAGGGTGATACGAGTAGTAAATGTCAGATGTAGGTCCTCTTGACTCTAAGGCTAGTTAGTGCTCTTTGAAAATATGTACTCTTTACTTCCTCACAACTCCTAAATTAATTCCTCTTCATCATAAATTCAGATGCACTGTTAAATGGTGTTCATTATCAATAACCAGCTATGGCTTTATTACTTCCATATTTAAAGAGTATCTAAGCACATTCTATTTTATGCAGACTTTCAGAATGTTAGAGATTATCTAGCACTTCCCACTCATTTTACAGATGAGGAAACTGATATGATGAATTGCTTGACTAAGGTCTCCCATGTAATTAGTACTAGCTCTCCTTTGCTCTGGAACTCTTTTCAATAAACCCCATTAGTGCCCCGATTGCAATTCAAGTTTCATATTTGCTTTCCTCTATTTTGTTCCTTAAATACTTTTGACTCAAATATTATTGATGTGTTTTGCATGTTTGTTCCTATGAAATTATTTTTACACTTTAGGAGGAATGATTTTAAATAGTTTAGAATTTACAGATAAAATATTGTTTATATTAATGTGAGTATAGAGGATGCTGACAATATAAGCTTTGGATACCATGAAGTTGAGGAAAGATGTCGACAATCTTTTGCGGCGTGGGAGGACAAACAGCGGGAATTGGAGAACTGGGAGACTGAAAAGTTCAGAGCCCAGCGGGATAGTGAAGAAAAACAGCTGCAAGAGGAAGAAGAAAAGAGACATTGCCGGATGAAGCAATTTGAAGTAGAAAAGAAAAAAATAGAAAATATTCATAAGGTAACATCTGTAAATAAACTGTTATTGTTCAGTTGTTCAGTCGTTTCTGACACTATGTTGGGTTTTCTTGGCAAAGATCCTGGAGTTATTTGCCATTTCCTTCTCCAGTGTTTCCCCATTTTACAGATGAGCAACTGAGGCAGATAAGGGTTCAGAGACTTTCCCAGAGTCACACAGCTAGTAAGTGCCTAAGGTCAGATGTGAACTTAGGCCTTCCTCTCTCTGGGCCTGGTGCTCTATCCACTGCACCGCCTAGCTGAACCTGTTAATAAAAGATCCCTAAATAGGTATATCCCCACAATCCATATCTGTGCTTGAGACTGAAGTTATATCATTCAGCACTTACTTTTGACATTAAGTATAGGGGCACTAACCAGCACTTAAGACTTGTTGGAGGTGATGGTCAGTAAATATTTAGGAATTTCGTAATGCTTTTTACTGAGCTTTGCTAGACTTTCCTTTTAAAAAAGAGATTTTTGGTTAATATCTTGTTTTTATATCACCTAGATTTCACCCTCATATATTTCCTCTCCCAGAATTATCTCTTATAATAGTTTTTAAAAAGAAAAAAAAAAGAAGAGAAACGAATTAGGAAAACCTATCAACACATTGAAAAAAATCTGACATTATATACAATATTCCATTCCAATGGATTTCAATCTCTGCAAAAGAATGGGGAGAAGTATCTTCTCATATCTTCTCTTCTTTGGTACTAAGATTTTTTTTTTTATAATAGTAGTTGAAACATATTCTTTATGATATCACATTCAGATTTGATTGTTTTATGGCTATTGTTCTTTGTAGTGTTAGTCATTGTGTATATTGTTTTCCTGGCTCTGCTCTTACTTTACTTTGTTATTAATTCATGTATGTTTTTATATACTTTCCAGTATGTGTCATCTTTGATGATTCTTCATCACAATAATATCCCATGACATTTGTCTACCCTAGTTTGTTTAGTCATTCCCCAATCAATGGATATTAACTTTTTTTTCAAGTCTTTGCTACCACAAAAAGTACTGTTATAAATATTTTGGTGTGTGTGAAACCTTCGTTTTTGTTAATAACTTCAGCGAAGTCTAACAGCAAGATATAGAAAGAGAAATTCCATTTAAAATAACTGTAGACTATATAAAATACTTGGGAATCTACCTGCCAAGACAAATCCAGGAACTATATGAACACAATCACACAAATAACATCAGATCTAAACAACTGGGAAAATAGTAATAGCTCATGGGTAGATGAAGTCAATATAATAAAAATGACAATTCTGTCTAAATTAATTTACTTATTCAGTGCCATACCAATCAAATAACAAAAAAAAAAATAGAGGTAGGAAAAATAACAATTTATCTGGAATAACAAAAGGTTGAGAATATCAAGGGAATTAAAATATATATTAAAAATAAAGATTTTGAGACTTTGTAATAGCAGAATGAACTAGAAATAATGAAATTAATTTGTGCCTTTACAGAATAATCTTGCCTTTTATTTTTGAAATCTCCATTTGAACAAGAGAATTTGGAACTGATTTCACTTTAAATTTTGATTGATTATCAATCTACAGCAAGATTTCTTTAAAAAGAAAGCTCTAATTAATTAGATTTTTTTACAAAAATTCCCAGAAAAGCAACAATAGAAAACTTACTCTTTCCTAAAGTCAACTGAAGCTAAACACAAGTTACATCAATCTAAGCATTCATAGATCGCACTGATAGATACCAGTATATGTGTGTGTGTATGTATATGTGTGTATATATGTATATATATACATACATATCAAGTATTTTAATTACATGCAAAAACAATTTTTAGCTTTAATTTTTTAAAATTTTGAATTCCAACTTCTCTCTCTCCTTCCCTCCCTCTCTTCTCCCCTCATTGAGAAGACAAGCAATTTGATATAGGTTGCATATGTGCAGTCAGGCAATTCATTTCCCTATTAGTCATATTGTGAAAGAAAACATAGACCAAAAAAAAATCCTCAGGAAAAATAAAGTAAAAAAAATATGCTTCAATTTTTATTCAGGCTCCATTGGTTCCTTCTCTGGAGGTGGATAGCATTTTTCAACATGAGTTTTCAGAATTGTCTTAGATCACTGCATTGCTGAGAATAGCTAAGTCATTCATAGTTAATCATTGTACAGTATTGCTGTTGCTGTCTATAATGTTTTCCTGGTTCTACATATTTCACTTTGTATCAGTTCATGTAAGGCCAGGTTTTTTGGAAAGCATCCTGTTCATTATTTCTTATAGCACAATAAGATTCTGTCACAATCATGTACCACAACTTGTTCAGGCATTCCTCATTCATGGACATCCTAACCCTCAATTTCGCATTCTTCGCCATCACAAAAAAGAGTTTCTATAAAATTTTTTGTACTTATAAGTCTTTTTCCTTTTTTTTTCCTTTTAGTTTCTTTGAGATGTAGAGCTAGTAGTGGTGTTGCTGGGTCAAAGGGCATGCACAGTTTTATGGGATACCAGCATATTTTTAATCTGGTTCATTAAGATAAATTCTGCTCAGCTAGAACTCCAATTCAATTCATCTATCCATCCATATATAGATATAAACAAAACAGTTTTCCAGCTTCATCCACAAATATGTATACATTTAGAAACCAAATGAAACATTTTCTCAGTTTCATGCACACTCATACATTCAGTAAAAACAAATCAAATTTAGGCATTATTCCCCACCCCATCCTACCCTATCCCACCCATGTTCACTGTCATATCAGTTGAATCTTGAGAAAATAAAAATCATGTAGATAATGGAGTTCCCTTAATTGAAATTACAGAAACATGTATTCATTTTTTTTAAGGCAATTGGGGTTAAGTGACTTGCTTGGGGTCACACAGCTAGTAAATGTCACGGGTTTAATCTGAGGCTGGATTTGAACTCAGGTCCTCCTGACTTCAGGGCCAGTGCTCTAGCTGCCCCTGAAATTACAGAAACATGTAGGGAAGACAATAAGGAGCTATTGGTTTGGGGCCGCATTCTGAGGGGTCAAGGAAATCCAGATTTCTATAGGTGAAAGGCTCAGTTGGACCAGGAAGGAAAATAAATAAATAAAACCCAAACCAAAAAAACAAGGATGGATCAGAAAGTCAAAAGGAGGGGGAGAGTAGAAAAACAAGTCTGTTCTCATTGAAAATCCTACAACATCTCTCAAAAATGAAGGAAACATGCACATGTTCTCTGGGAACAGAGAAATAAACATACCAATTCTCCCATAACAGTTAAGGGAGGTGATAAAACATTGTTTTAGAGCATCCTAAACTCTTGCTGACAAGAAAACAAATAGAATAGGCATCTAGTTAGCCAGACATAGAAACAGAATACCAGGAATAATGGTTTTTACTGACCATAGAAAACACAAACAACTAAGAAAAGTCTAATCCTCAAAGGGCAACAATCTCTCTGAGCGCCTAGGAAAGATAGAAAAGCAATCTCTCTTACTCCAAATTCATACCAGGAAGGAAAACAGGGAAAGGGGCAGCTCGCCAATCTTCCCCATTTCCCTGTGTATAGTAGTACCCATATCAGCCAGTGGACCTGTTATGGCAAGAAAATACTCTGATTACTGTTTAGAGTACAGATCATTAAAGGCTTTATTTTAGCTATAATTACAAGGGCAAGGCAATAAGAAGAATGAGTTGACACAGAAAGAAGTGTGTCTGTGGGGTGAGAGGGTTTCTGAATATGAACCATTTGTTACAAGCACTTATTCAAAAAGCACAGTCTTTCTGAGTTCACAACTGCCCCTCTCTCATTCTTGGGGATGGAGGAGAGACTTTCTTATCTGCTAGTCTGAGATAACTCAATCTTTAGGTTGTTCTTTCACATGAACTAGGATAAGGGAATGTAAAACACAAGAAATTAGATGTGACTCCCTTGTTACAATTAAGTGAAAGCTTAAGCTAAAATAACATTAATTATGCTGACAAAAGGAAAATACAGTCTTTACTATTATGATAACTTTTGAGTTTCTCTTCCCCCTTTTTTTCTATTTCTTTACCTTGAGAGAATCATACTTTACAAAGCAGGATGGTAGAAGATTATATTTATTATTCAGTGTTATATCCAACTCCTCGTGACCCCATTTGTAGTTTTCTTGGCAAAGATACTAGAATGGTTTGCCATTTCCTTCTCCAGCTCATTTTACAGGCAAGGAACTGAGGCAAACAGGGTTAAGTGACTTACTGAGGGTCACACAGGGTCACAGAGAGCATTATGGTATGTAAAATGGATAATTTTGGTTATATTAAATTAAAAAGGGTTTGCACAAACTAAATCGATGCAGCCAAGATTAGAAGGAAAGGAAACTGGGAGAAAACTTTTTACAGCAAGTGTCTCTGATAAAGGTTTTATCTCTTAAATTTATAGAGAACAGAGTCAAATTTGTAAGAATATAAGTCATTCCCAAATTGATAAATGGTCAAAGGATATGAACAGGTAATTTTCAGAAGAAAAAAAATCAAAGCTATCTATATTCATATGAAAAAATATTCTAAATCACTATTGATTAGAAAAATGCAGATTAAAACAACCCTGAGATACCACTTCACACCTATCACATTGACTAATATGACAGAAAAGGAAAATGACAAATATTGGAGGAGATGTGGAAAAATTGACACTAATGCATTGTTAGTGGAGTTGTGAACTAATTCAGCCATTCTGGAGAGCAATTTGGAACGATGCCCAAAGGGCTATAAACCTATGCATACCCTTTGACCCAACAATACCACTACTAGGTCTGTGTCCCGAAGAGATCAAAGAAAAAGGAAAAGGACTTATATGTCCAAAAATATTTATAGCTGCTCTTTTTGTGGTGGCAAAGACTTTAAAATTAAGGTATGCTTATTAATTGGGGAATGGCTGAACAAGTTGTGATATATGATTATGATGGAATGCTATTATGCTGTAAGAAATGAGTGGGATGGTTTCCCTGAGGCCAGATGAGGGCCCTGGTTGGTGGCTTGGCCTAGGTGTAGGTTCAGCATCACACATGATGATTTGTATTTTTGAGATTGTAAATCTTGTGTAATACTGATTTAAATTTATTTATTTAGCAAAAAGAAGAGATGATAAATGTTGAACTGCAACAACAGAAATTGTGGGAAAAGAATTTAAAGGAGCATGAGGTAGCTATATTTGTGTTTTTATTAGTAAGATGATTAATCTTGATTTGAGTTAAGTTGCTATTCTTGACACCTTAGAGTTTTGTTATTAGGTAAGGCTGCTCTCTTTGATCTAGATTTTAAGCATTATAAAAGTCACAGTTCTGAGAATTTACTGAATGCCAACATTAAATAAAATGTCGAGCCAAACAAACATTTTCTTAGTATGATTTCCCTTTTGTGATGAAAAAGACCAATGTTGTGAATAGCTCATCCTAAGCAACAAAATGTATTAATTAAGATTGTTTTACTTCTTGAACTCAATTGATCTAATACAATTCTAATTGGAAATGTCTTCTCCCTCTCTTTGTTTTTTTATAAATTTTAATATTTTTAAAAAATTAATTATGCCCCTGAAGGTACAGAATATCATTTTGGTTGGCAATGCCCAAGCATACTGACACATTAAAGGAAACCCTTATTGGGGTGCTACTAAGATGACTGGAAATTCCATGCTGTGAAGTGGTTAAACTCTAGGAGTTAAACTCTTAGGGGTACCAACTCTATTTTCTTGCTACTATGGAGACCATTCTCTTTGATGTCAGCTCCTTCATCTCAGACTATAGAAGAATATTTGTAGTAGTTGAAAGGGTAGAAATAACAAACCATCTACTGATTTCGTGTTCCGATAACATTCAAGCATTCTTCTACCCCATGCATACATCTGGAATTCCATAGATAGATAGATAGATAGATAGATAGATAGATAGATAGATAGATA